AATGTTGACCGAGATTCTCCTCATGGAAATTACTGGTTTTGCTCACCGTTCAAATTCGCCTTGGAAATGACTACTGGAAAGTGGAGAAAAGGAAGTTCTCAATTTCTTCACTTTCAGGTTATCGCCAAAGGCACTTCAGAATCCAGAGTGGCAGCTGCCAACCTCTTACTTCACTACTGGCCATTTCCGAATCCACACATAATACACAGGAAAACTATACAGTATAAAGTTCACGGTACGTCTATTTATTGGAAAACACACGAGGTGAAACTCCAGTTCGGGGGGGCCACTCCATTGCTATCTTATCCGTAGTACTAGAGAGCAGTTCTTTGGGCTATCGAACACTACGGATAAGATAATAAAGTGAACGACTCATTTCGAGCGTACTTTTGATAAGGACCGGTGGATGTCCTACATTCCACACTACCTGCCCACATCCCATCCACTTTTCTGCACAGGTGATCCACCCTGGAGCTCCTGCACCCTTAGCCCTTTGCGGAGGTGTCCTTTCTCCTGGTCCAGGACCGTTCCCTTGGGTCATGGCAGGCGGAAATGTGAAAACGTTTCAGGGTTTCTCACCCATTACACCAATATTTATCAGAAGTCTACTTTAAATGAGTCGATTACGTGTCGTGAGCCCTCTAATCCTTATCTTGAGTATTGGAGAAAAAATGGAGTGGCCCCCCCGAACTGGAGTTTCACCCGATTTCCTAACCCATAGAGCCTTCTTCCTTCACGCCTTCTTTTGGTATGACGACAATCCTGTTCAACTGTTCTTCAACTCATTTCTTCAAAAATTGGTTAGGGACGCACAGAAATAGCGCCGATTTTGCGACTCGAAAATTGAAAAGTTGCTGTCTTACCCGACCGCCGCTCACCTGTCCTCTCCTGGTGTTACCGAGGACAAGCCTGGTGTCCCGTGGGCCCCTGTGGTCACCAGGGACGAGTCCACGATCATTTGGACTCGTCTGTGGTGAATAGACCTTCCTTGACTGACCATGAGCGGCCTATGTGGTCCAATTCTTTCCTGCATCCTTGAATCTAATGACACGTTTTCCTTCAAAATGTTTGGCTGGGTTAAGGCATTTCACCGAAATCATGTCATTTTCAGCTTGGCAAAGGATTGCTTGTCAGTCGACAACTTGCACCGATAAATCGTATTTTTCCAAGCAACAACTGGTAAATATTTGCAGGAAAAGTTCGAGAAAACAACGACGCTGTTACGCAATCTGCAATTTCACTCTTTTCGCGAATAATCTTTTTTCGACAGCGTTAGACGGAGGTCTGAAAACATATTCATCATACATTGGCGGTTTTCAGCGTGAAGTCCTGCTATGACCCAGTTATCTGCGCTGACGTCGCCGACACGTCGCCACCGGTGTTTCCTCTGTCGAAGATGTGCTGACAATGTCGTCGCCGAGCGTAAGGCACCTATGAGGATTCTTACACAACCCATGCAGGCCAGCAGTGCTACGTGCCAGAATAAGGTGAAGATCACATTTCTGGAAAAGTTGCTATGCCATTGTTTAGTGACATTTTGTGGGAAGATCCTTATCTCGTTCAGCCATGAACGCCATTGCATTTGATTGCACCAGACTAAAAGTGTTTTCTCATTGAAGAATGCTCTATACCTCCGTCCATTTCCTTCCGAATCTTTCTTCCGCTTTACATCTAGAAGCTGGCCTTCCTAGGATTTTGGGAGAGTCACGGTGAGATTATATCAGGTGGAGTTCCCTCCTCATCTTAACAATGAGGTTGAAGAAGACGCTTTTGGTCCAGGGTCGAAATCAGAGAAAAAATGCTTTCACATTGATGAGAGCGAATGTCTCGGCTCTGCACGCTCTTCATATAACCACATCAATCCGTCGAAAATTTCACTGGTTGGCGCCAGGCTCGCGCTAGTAAAAGTCAGTGATGAAGAAGAGCACTGCAGGCCTCATAGCGGAATATTCGGCGATTTTCAAATTTTGAAGGGACTGTTATTTCACGAAGGACCCTAACGGCTGCAAGTTCACCCTTTAGCCTGTTTTTGCGATCCATAATAGCAATAGTTAGGGCTCTAACCGTACAGGAGCAAGGAGGCACATGTAGTTCGAGCCACTATACCCCGAACTAAAAACATCTGGCACGACAAAATGATATTCGGAACGGGGAATGTGACTACAGCAGAGGGGGCTAAGTTTCTAAGAGATCTACACGTAGCGCTCGGCGAACCGCGCACCATTAGCGACGTAACAAGGTATTGACCATCCTCACCGTTTCTCTGGAAACCTTTATTCCTCAGCCGCCCTCCGATTATCTGACCCATCTACTGATCCCTCGCCGTAGAACTAAACGCTTCTGAGCAGAGAGGCAAAACGTTCACGTTGACGACGTTTCGTTGAGACTTGTCCATCATGTGGACCCATAAGCGATAGAAGGGTTCCATTTTTTCCGTTTCCTTGTTCTTTCCTCCTGCATCGCCTAGACCCATCTCTGTTTTCATTTCCAAAGGGCGAACAATTTGCCATGCCATGTACCTTTAAGTGACAGCTTCAGGATGAAGATTCACAAAGCGTCTGAAAAGGTCAAACTTCCACAAAGCTTCATCTGGTGAAAATGATCACAATTTTAGGACTGCCAGTCACAATCGCGTCTTGCGGTCGGAATTTGTTTCTCGCACGAATGTACCAGGACGCACAACTTCGTCCCGATGCGGCTGTGCCAGGTAACCTTGCCTTTCTGGAAAATGAAATCTACCTGTTTCACTTTCTTCGTACTTTCGCACTTGCCAACTTGGGAAAGAGAACTTTCTAGTTGAAAAAGACTTCTGCAAAGGTGTGAATAAGCCAATGTTACCAGAACTTCCATATAATGTTTAATCTCTCAGCTCTAGCTATTATAGTATGGACACTAGTGTAGTCAGAAGCCACCTTTACCAGCTGTTCACCCCTGATCGATGGTTTTGATCTCCGAATTTGCAAATCCTGTTACTTTTAGGAATGCATGACAATCCTCCATAACAACTGCGAGACACCGCATTTGGTTCATCGTGGCTCGGGTTGCGTGTGGGGTCAGGCTGTTATGTGGGGCACCGTAGAAAGCATCGTCAAACTGTTACGTGAAACAGCTCAGACTTTGAAGGTACTAAGTGGTATAGTGTGCAGGGCTTTCTGATTTTCGTCATAAGGTAGATAAGCAATTTAACAGAACTTTTTAAGGTGCTAGTTTTTCAGGTACTGAAGGCGAAGGCAAGCGACCAAAATGGCTTCGTCAGCTGGAAGGTGGTCATTCGCTTGGCAAAGAAATCGACACGATGGCTGATGAACGTCGAATGCTCAGTCGATTTGGTGTCTGGATGATGGCCGCCCTATGTCCACCCAACGCGAATGCAGATCAGGTATAAACTATTCTTGAATGTTTTTCGATTAAGAAGCTGTAAGTGAGCTTTAATGACCGAGTCAGCTGAACCTCCCTATACTTCAGGAACGATACAGGCTTTTTTGGAAGAAATATCTGATCGCAGCACATCAAATGATCCCCGAGAATTACTGTACAGGCCAAATTTCACTCAATCCCACTGCGATTTCCGAATGGGAGTAGAATGCGTGGCGCATCTAGAAAGGGATCGATTGAAGCCAAATGTTCTACCCTTTTACCGTTTGTGTGCACATATTTTACAAGTGCGAGCGAAAGTGCTTGTGGTTAACAGCATGTGGTGCCAGTTAGCAAGCGCGCGGTCCAGTGGTCAAATCTCGGGTCGAATTTCGCCCAGGTCCACCAAAATCCATCCATCGCTTGATTGGTACAAGGGTTCTGTAGGACTGTGAAAACACTGACATTTATTTTGCTGACCCCCCAAGTTATTGTACAGCCCATGACCGCATTCGCATGCCGCTAGTATCATAATAGGAGTGGAATGCGTGGCGCGTTTCAAAGGAACTGATTGACACCAAAAGCTCTTTCCTCTTTCTGCCTTTTTGGATGTGTAAGACATGCACGATTTCGCGAGCGCGGCCCTCATAGTTCACATCCATGGATCTCGAGCAGTAAATATACGAAACGTGAATGTTGCGAAAGACGTGCACATGGATGCGAGACACATACGTCCCGCGCTGTCCCACACGGCCTGCAGCGTGCGCGAAGCAAATTTCCCACGCTGTGCTGAAATAACGCCTCTGCAACTGGGGAAGGGGGGAGGAGGGGGACTGTTTAACCGCTGCCGCTGTCGCAAAACTGACACACTTGGCTTTTCACAACAAGGGTCTAATGCAAACAGAAAACAGAAAAAAAATGTTGAAGCAGAAGCTATCATAATGTTAATGGATCAGGAAAGCAATTGGTTAGATATATCTCAAGGAAGTCGGGTTATCGGAAATTCCAGGACCTCCGTATTCGGAGTTATCCCAACTTTCTCTCAACCTCTTGGTAATGCCGACCTCAGTGAATAAAAAATTAATCGTTTCCACGTTACAGAAAGCGATCTCATATATTATGAATAACGTGTTTCAATGGTTTGCAACAACAGCGCTGCTGCCGAATGACAGCATGGGAGCGAGTCTGGAACAGCTGAAAACTGATGTGAGTCACACTGGCAAGGGACCATTGATCCTGTTTCGACACCTAGAAAGGATGATTGCAGTTTGTTTGCGATTGGATCAATATGGCGATCAGAGTTCATTATGGAGTTTTCATCGATGCTTTGTCACCCGGTCCAGAAGAAGAAGGCCGTCATTTCGAGCAAACCAAGGAAGGATTGGCACGGTATGTGTACATCTGCTGATTTATGGTCTGTGTGAACAATGAGACGTATGGCCGGGCTGTTTCACGTTTAACCGTGGCAATCCGGCCCGTTCAGTTGCTGAAATCTTTTGATCCTGTAGTGGGACCTGTTTTATGAAAGATTCTATTAGCACGAAGGCACTGAATAATATGAAGGAGGAATTCAGGATGAGTACGGAGTCGAAAAGGAATTGAAATTAAGCAGAAAGGCAGGGACTCTCGAGTGGGTGTGATGCGTTGCTGGCAAGAAAGCTATGCACCCAGGCTGCCTACTAGCCAAACCACGCCGCTGCCCGCCCATCCCCTCGCCGTCTGACTCTAGCCGCCTTGGTAAAAAAAAATTGGTGACTTCAAAGAGGGCAGCTTCGAGGAAAATCGCATCCATACGAAAATGGAGCGCAGAGAAGGGGCCATTTCTCGGGTTCTAGGGGCCATTTCTCTTGTTTTTTTCTTCATTGCTCTGCCTCACTGGGCCTATTACGTGATTTCATCGTGAAACGTGAAGTCGCTTCAAGCCAAAAAAAAAAAAAAAAAAAAAAAAAAAAAAAAAAAAAAAAAAAAAAAAAAAAAAAAAAAAAAAAAAAAAAAAAAAAAAAAAAAAAAAAAAAAAAAAAAAAAAAAAAAAAAAAAAAAAAAAAAAAAAAAAAAAAAAAAAAAAAAAAAAAAAAAAAAAAAAGAAATTAAAAGAACTTTTCTATACATCTTATAATAGAAGCTCAATCTGTGAAATGCCCATTTGCAGGCTACTGGCTTTGATGCCGTACGATGTGTAATCTTCGTTGAGACGTGGATATCGTGTGGATGGCGGAATGGATACATGTGAGTGAAGCGCTGAGCTATGGAGACGTGCATGCTAATACGCTTGCTTTAGCTGATCTACGAAAAATGCAACGAAGAACAACAGAACGATTTGAAAATTTTGCTGTGTAAGATCTTCGAACCAGATCTCTGCCCACTCCCGTTTGAGACTGTGATGGTGAGTTTTGAATGTCTACATTCTATCAAATACCTATGCAAACATTCATTTATCAAATGAGGGACTTCCCACTCGAAATAAATAAGTAATGATGAAACAAGTGGAAATGCCGTGAAGGTCCCTCTGCAATGGACTCAAAAAAATTTGATTGGCATAAGTGGAGCGGAGGGGCAGGTAGGCTCTGTAGGGACGCAAAAGTACCCAGGTGACGAGAAGCTGCTAGGAACAAATGCATAGTGAAACTCCCGATTTTCCGCTTTCCAACTCTGATTCAAAGGCAGCCTCTCCTGTGAATTTAGGCTATCCCTTCGTTAGGTAGGGTAGAACTGTCGCACGGTGTCGCTATCTTGGCTCAGCACTTTGCAAGAAGGATATTGCTGCGCTGTTCATGGTCCCCATGTTGAGAGTTAGTGGCCACTTCTAATGCTTGCTATGGAAGTGATGGAACATCTGCGACTTCTCGGCCGCAGTACTCTCTCCTCTATTCTCTCCCCTGTCCACTCAGTGTCTCTTTGTTGTAGCACAGTTTGCCTCACGAAAAGTAGTAAGTCTCAATTTTGGTATCTTCGAAGGTTTTCCTTTTTCTTCTTTCTTTCTCTTTTCTTTCTCTCTTCACTGTTGGTCCACCTCCCACCTCCACTCATTTTCGAGCAAGGGATCCACAACTAATTTTTCGTGGGATGCCACTGATTGACCCCAATTTTTTTTACCATGAATATTCCCCGGTTACCAGGCCAACACCATCGGTAACATTTCGATGTGGGTTGGTAGAAATATTTTTATTTACTGCTCAGTAAAACTTCTTAAAGCGTGTTGCAGGTTTTCGACTTTGTAAGTACAAGGCTTGGCGGAAAAGACTATCAGGAACTCTTCAATGCTCTTCAGTGGTTGCACGTGAGTTAGCCTTACTACTGTGCTTGTGACGTAAAGTTTTTCCTAGAGGAAATTGAAAGCACACCCTACATAACATCTCTCGGGGTTTCATTCTTTATCTCTACCAATCTCTGATTGGCCTTCTTGGTACCGTGACAGAACAACGAAAGCTGTGGCATATAGGGTCAGAATGTGCCAATACATTTCCAGTTCTCTTAGCCTTCCATTCACCTCTAATAAAGTGCAATTGCAGCTGCTCTCGCGCCTCGAAATCTCCATCCCACTGGATATGCTGCTGGAGAAGTTCAGTTTGGCATTGTCAGGCCTGCACCACCATGGAAATTCCTCGCCTTGGACAAAACGATCTCGAAGACGACGACGTCTCCATACACATTGGTCTCATTGACTAATTGGGTCCTTTCAGGTTGAGTTTTCTGCTTGAAGTTTTTTGTAGTCAGTTGTAGACTTGCAGTAGAAATTGCTAACCGAAGACTGAAAGCCGTGACTCTACTTTTTCTCTACTTGTTGGAGTAAAAAGAGTTAGAGGTTTTGTGTGTTGTGTATGTGTGGGGAGGGGAGGGGGAAGGTAGAAGCAACCGCTGGGGGCAACTGAAGCCGGTAGAAAACATTCATTGGGCAAGCGCAAATTGGTATGTCGCGGAGAGCAAGGCTAAGAATGGATATCCTTGTCGGGCAAGCGAGTGACACCTGTCTTCAGGTTTTTATCGAGTTCCGTGAACGCAGCCGCTAATGTCTCAATCATTTCCTGCAGCTTACGGGAGAGGCCCACTATTTTTTCATCTGGAGGGGAAGCAATAATAATCCTAATGCTGCCGTGCAGAGCTATTCGTTGAAAAACGGCGGTTACGGATAGTCTAATTATTGTTTGTGTCCAAAGAGTCCTGTCCTCTGTCCAAGGTGATCATCACAAATCGCGGGCTGTCGTGTAGACCTGGTCTTCATTTTCTCAGCGAAAGTGCCCCTTATATATGTAAAAGAAAAGTTGAGGACTGGAGAATAAGGAATGGGGGACTGATTGAAGGATTAAAATGAGAAGAAGAGTATGTCGAACCAGGGCAACCGTCGGAACTTGTTTGAAATTTTGGGGATTTAAAATAAAAACTTATCATCGTTGCCATTCAATGTCGGTTCGTTAACCCTGCTGAATTTGTATAGTGAGACGATTTCAGAGCTTCATCTCGCTTCTTACGTCTTCTGTTGTGGTTTCAGTGGAAGCTTCGCCGAAGAATGCAATTTATTAAAAAAATTTCAGCCTTTACAAGATACTAGTTATGAACAAACAAACAAAAAAAACGAGACGCGAACCTGCACCTTTTCTACCCGGTTGTAGCGCACCTTCCCGACAAGCAAGAGGTGCAAGATCGAGTCCCGTCTTGGGCAAAAGTTTTGTTCACAACCCAGCACTCATGTGAAGTATTCGCAAGGCGAACAGCGGCCAAAACCATTCAAAAACAAGTCAAAATTTCAGCTACGTTTTGAATGAAATTTTGGCTGGTTCACGGCAATCGGGCAATTGGATGAGAAGGGGTTCTCCGTGTTTCGCCTCCTGCAGCGGTTCCTTCTTCGCCACACATCCTCATTGGTTGCAAAATCAGAACTCGATGGATTCGCCGTATTGTTGTCGGGTTAAGGCGAAGATTTTGGTTGCTTAAAGGCACAGGTCTGGATTATGCGGTCAAGAAAACTTGGTGGGTCTTTACAGAGGGGCAGCTATGCTCTGATCCGAAACGGCGCATAAAATAAGGTCCCTGGCACGAATATTTTGAGCCGATACCGCCACATTGTCTATGACCTGCCATGGCGGAGTGGTACACGGCTGGCATAGGCGCGAAGATCAGCAGGGTTGTGCTGCCGTATCGGGCCTTACTGACGAGAGCCAGTAACGCTGCCATGGAATTCGGAACACATCAGCACGCCCACTTCAGCCGCCAGCCTTCAGTTCTGTCGTTGTTGAGGAGAGAGGGTCTTACTTTCGGCCTTGCCGACGGCTCGTTCCCGTTTTTCTTCACTGGCGTTCATTTTGCATCTCTACACTCGTTTACAAGTGCAAAAACAGCTCAACTTTGATCCAACGAAGCTATTTAAGAAGCTTTCTATACTTGTAGCGATTCGCAGTATAGAAACATGCTACTGAATGGAGGTTCTCCCAACCTCACAGAAATTCACCGAAAAATTCTTCAGCCTGCCAGCAAGCCGCATTTCTACACCAAATGATCATGAATATGACAGAGAATGTCTCACCAAAGCAGGAGATGGCAATTACCAGCCACTGAGGTTCAATTCTTTCAACTTTGAACTACTTATTCGTTACAGTTCGGATTTCTTTTTCCAAGGACGAAGTTATTACGACTTCGATGCAACATCTCCTGGGACATCACATCCCAGCGCAGCGTTGTCTCCACAGACCGCACCAGGCAGCAAAGGAGGTGAAGGAGCTCTTTTCAAGTGATGCTTCCAAGTACTTTTTGAAAGCCCTTTTCAGCTTCCCCAGCGACGACAAGCGCCCTACAGGATTTTCTGAAGGTGGTCTGTGCTTCCAAACGGCCACTGTCGAACAAACCGGCGATGACGAATTCGTTGGCATTTTGCCAAGCGAAGAAGTTGGTCACTTTGTATTGCATTGTTTCGTTTCATATAATTTTGTTTGTTTTGTGTTGTTCTTGCTCCTGAAGAAACTACTGGGAGTGTGTTTATAGGTTGAAGTAGCCATGGCAGAGGCTACAACTCTAACGGAGACCGATGTCGGGAGAGAGACTTGCCAAGTGGTGACAAGCAGCCTCGTGGAAGGAATTAAGGTCAGCTCATAAATTCCTCAATAAATTCCTAAATTAATCTTCAAATAATAATAATGAAGCAAATGATTTGCCGCGGGAATGGTTCTGTAAACCTCTCATTTCCTATCATGCTATTTTTGTTGCGAAATGACTCGCTGGAAAGCTGACGCTGTGGAGTATTTCTACTCTATGCATTTTCTTTATACAGTGCGTTTCAAAAGTATGTGCACACCCTCAAAATTCACGTTTGAAAGGGAACCATGAGGTTTCGTGCTATGAAATCCTTCTCAATCGATTTCTCGTAGTCGATAACCTATCAATGGAAGCAAAGCAGATAATATCGCCTCACTTTCGAAAAAAATTTTGGATGAATTTTTTTCTTTGTTTCAAAAGTATGTGCACACTTAACAAAAGACAAAAACATAGCTGAGATTAGAAATCAGTGGGGCCTCCAGAGTTTCTAATTAGCTCAAACATCCTGTCCGGCATAATCTGAACCACGTTTGGCATAGCTGTTTCGTCGCTGTCGGCCCAAATAGCCTCTACCGCCGCCTTCAGTTCATCCGCGGTATTATACTGCCGGTTGCTAAAGTTAACGCCTTGATCAAGGGCTCCCTATAGGGTTGCAGTAAGGAGGACACACAAGCCAATCTATCGCTTCAGCACCATTTGGTTAAGGCCATTCTTTGGTAGATTGCGAAGCATCGAAAGACACGTGGTCCTGTTGCTAAAAATGCAATTTTCGCTCCGCTTCGCTAAGAAAGGGCAACAGGTGACATTGGAGCACTGCTTGGTATTCTTTACAGTTCATACGCAATAATGGAACGGCAACTTCTGAATTTCCTCTGATTGCGAAACCGCCGCAGACCCATCAACGGGCCTCTTCCGAAATTCCTTCTCGAGAGCACGAGCGACTCACGGCCAAGCCTCTCCAGTAGTAGCAAAATCCACCCGGCCCGTCAAGATCGAACTCTTTCCATGAGTTAAGATTACCTGAGGAGAGAAAGTCCATAAAAAGTTGCTTGTTTTGAAAATAGGAAATTCTCGAAAAACCGTGTCTTCGCCCGGTGTCCTATCCTATGTTGCCATGTCTGTACGAGCAGACTCCAATGTGGCTAACTTGTGCTGGGCCTTGAAGTGAGTAGCCTTTCTCAGCGTCTGTCGAGTGGTGTATTCATTTGAGCGGATGAGGGACTTAGTGGTTATTTTCGAGGCTGGAATAAAAATCTGAGCTCGGACTCTCAATGAAGAATTCGACAGGATGTGTGCTACTCTTTTGTTGTTCTGAGCAGTCAAGGATCGTGGATGGAGCGGAGTGTGTGCTGAGTATAATTATCAGGGTGCCAGATAAATCTTCGAATGCATTAAGGAGAACGACCAAGTTATCGTGCGATTTCTAGATTGGAACGTTCATTATCATGCAGAACCTTGATCTGAGCTTGCTCATCTTCAGGAAGAAGTATGGCGCGAATTGACATGATGACGAAATGAAAACAGCAAAGTCGGATTGAAATCGGTGGAAAATTCGGCGCCAAAATCTGATCTTCTTCAAGTGTGCACATACTTTTGAAACAAAGAAAAAAATTTCATCCAAAAAATTTTTCCGAAAGTGAGGCGATATTATCTGCTTTGCTTCCATTGATAGGTTATCGACTACGAGAAATCGATTGAGAAGGATTCATAGCACGAAACCTCATGGTTCCCTTTCAAACGTGAATTTTGAGGGTGTGCACATACTTTTGAAACGCACTGTATGAGAGGAGTGAAACCAAGTATGGGGTCTGCCATGCATTTTACGAGCAAAAAAAACCAAAATTCAAAGCGTGGACTGTGTCGTTAAGTATGCGCCACCATCTGAATGAAGATGGCAGAAAGTAATCAAGAAGTTTATGAATGGTCTGCCATCTCCATGGGTTTAATTCCAGGTTCGACGCCGGTGTCTAATCAGCAGATTACCGCAAGATCCCACCCGCATGACTTCTGGACACTCTGTGGGACGATTCGATTTCTATTATCAGCTCCAGACAACGCAAAATGATCCACGCACTACTAGTGGTACGATTTTAATTTCGAACAGCACTTCATGACTAAGTTAGGGAATGGACTATCATGCCTGAGCATAGGTACAGGAAAAGGTGAGTTCCTTGGGAATGCGCTGAACATCCAACTTGTATTTTTATTTTTGGATTGATGGGAATACTACTTATACGCCATATAATATTGCAGCACGGTACGTTTACCCTATCGCAATTCTGTTTAATAGTTTGACAATTAGAACCTGAATACGTGACCGCTAGTAAATGGGTTAGTTCTATTAGAAGACAACAGCTCGGTTCTGCAATTTCGCAAATCAAAGGCATTCAGGATGCCTCCCTCCAAGGTCTCATGACAACGGACAATTCACGAATGCAATTCGTAAAAAGCGCAGCACCGAGTGTATACTATATATTGATATACTCAAGGGGCGGAAGTGGTGTAGTGACAAGTGGCGCGCTCACCACGCGAGCGGTCCGGGATCAAATCCTGGGTCGTGAGTCGCCCGGGCCAACCAAGCCTTCCATCCCTCCGGGGTCGGTTAATTGGTACCAGACTTGTCTGGGAGGATAAAAACACTGACTTGTACATCGGCTGGCCCCCGCAAGTCATTGTATAGGCCACATCGCATTCAAACGCCACTACGAATGTACAAATGGAAGTAGAATGCGTGCCGCATCCCAAAAAGGGATTGATCAACGGCAAATGCTTTATCCTTTTTCCTTTATCCTGCCCTCATTACTCATTTTCGAGCTTCCTCGTAGGTCTATGAGCAAAACGTGAGACTTATACTAACCGTGTTGTTTTGAAGAACCTGGAATACGCTGAAGATCCGGATGTGGAGAATTTTATTATGCACACATTGAAACTTCTATGCCTTCATTGTGGATCGTTGAGCAACGCACGAAGGGAGCATCGCGGTTTTCTGATATGGATACAGGTATTAATTCATTTCAACGAGT